AGTGAAACTACTTTGTTTGGCCTTCCAAAAGAGGACGATATCTGCTTCGTCATGCCTAGAGCTGATTCGTGCTAGTCGCTGAGGAAATACATCAACTTCGCGCTGTGAATCGCCAGATCTGCTTTCACCGTGGACGAAGCGGTATGTGGAAAATAATGTGTTTTTTTAACCTTAAACCACATAAACACATTTCATTACACCAAATACACAATATAATGTTCTTTTTAGCAGCATCATATGACCCCTTTAAATAGTTAACTCTTTGAAATAATATCAGATGTTAAAACTGCAAGGCTGGAATACATTACATGACTTTTAAAATCAAAACTTCTAAAAGCTTTTAAAACACTAGACATCATACGCTTCCGTAGTTCCGAACAGAACAAACTCACACAGAAATATGTGCCTTGTTGCTAGGAGATACATGACAAATGAAAACAACTTGTTCTAAAACTGGCTCAAAATATCAAAAATGTTTGATATCCTCTGACAGAGTCTGTGACTATCATAAGCTACATGATTTCTGTGGAATCTGTCAATACTGACTGCCCAAAATCTGCAGACTGGCTTTGACTTTTGGCAACTGGTGTCGACTCGTCCGAAGTAAAAATTTGGGCAAAAGTGGTGTAGTGTATTCCTACTACTGGAACTATTTAAACTAACTATAAAACTTACTATAAAACTATTTAATATCAGTCGACTATGTTTAGTTGATGTGAAAAAGTGGCGTGCCACCCCTGGTCCTCCTTGTTCCATCGCAATGAATGACATAAAGATGGACATATGCAATAATCACGCACCTTGTCATCATCCTCACAGGTCATGACGTTGGAAAAAGGGATCTCAGCCTTGAACATCTTTCTGCAGTGCATGAGCTGCACCAGAAGGTAACAGACTGTCTTAAACTTCATCCTTTTCGCTGGCTTTATGTCTGATAGGATCAGCCCAGGAAAAATCTGCAGAGAGAGAGAAAAAAGAGAGGGGGTGGGAAGAAATGTGAAATGAGGAAAGAGAAAAGATGAACTGAATGTGTGAAAATGGCTGCGGTGACTGAAGAAGTTAAAAAAGTAATATGAAGAAGACGCCTCTAATCAATTTGTAAAGAACTCCAGATGGACTAGGATGTTTGTAAAGCTTTTGATTATGCATGTATGGATCATTTTATTGCACTGTACTCATCTCTCAGATTGGGAAGATACAGCTGAGAAACTCAAACGTTTAACAGAAACAAATATCTTAGAGAGAATTGTGTATAAACTACCGTTTAAACGTTCGGGGTCGGTAAGATTGTTTTATGTTTTTCTGAGAAGTCTCTTATACTCACCAAGGCTGCATTTATTTGATTAAAAAATGCAGCAAAATTGTGAAATATTATTACAATTTAAAAGATCTATTTTTATAGATATTTTAATGTTTAATACTTTTAAAATGTAATTTATTCCTGTGATGCAACACTGAATTTTCAGCATCATTACTCCAGTCTTCAGTGTCACATGATCCTTCAGAAATCATTCTAATATGCTGATTTGCTGCTCAAGAAACATTATTATTATTATCAATGTTAAATACAGTTGTGCTGCTTATTATTTTTGTGAAAACCATGATACATTTTTCAGGATTCTTTGATGAATAGTACGTTTTTTCAACGTTCAAAACAAATTTTGTTTGTTCAGTTACATGCTGAGAACATAATACCTCCCTAGTACTATTATAGCAATAAAAATAGCAACAAGAACAAGAAGCAAATAGTTCATGGCTGTAATGTAAATATAGTCTATTGGCTATTTAAATGTCCCACTTCCTGTTTCAACAGGAAATATGTGCTTTATCAGTGTGGTTTCATGTGTCTATGGCGTGATGATGATGTGTTTGTACCTTGCGTCTGTGTGAGGGCACGATGAAGAACGTCTCGATGGCGTGTTTGCTGAGGAAAGAGTGTCTCTCGTGGCCGAATCCCGGCTCCACTTCATAATCTCCATTCAGACATTCCAGCGTTGCTCTGGTGATATGAACCTTCCTGTTGCGGGAGGGGCAAATGATCACACTCTCATCTTTCTGCTCATATAGTCCTCGCTATATAAAGGTTGCGTGACGGTTGGGAAGAAATGGCATAAATGTCTGAATATGTTGTTAAATGTGGTGTGTGACTGACCCAGGCAGTCCTCCTGCCTCCATCATGTTGGCCAGTGTCACGTCATTGGACCAGACATCATACTGCCACTTGCGGAGCCCGAGAACCCCGCACAGCACACGGCCCGTGTGCAAACCCACACGCATGTTCAGGTCCACCTCAGTAGCCTCTGCAACAGACCTGATTATATACATATATTCACAAAAAAGGTAAATGTTATCGATACATGAGTGGTCTTTATACTGACACTTACAGGTGTGGATGAAGCATAATAAAAAAAGTTTTCGGTTACAGATTCAAGTGCAAAATTTATTTAAATGAAAATTAAACAAAAAAAATCATAAAAAACTATAATAGTATCTGATACTAAATAACACTAAATGATTGGAGATGTCCAGCAATGTCACCAGAAAGAAATTTGTCATATCACCAGAAGATTGAGTTAAAATTTAAGAGGTCAAAAAAAAAAAGACACATATGCATTGAGGAATCATAAACAATAAGTTCTACAACAAATAGATCTTGATAGATCTAAATGGATTTTAAATCAGCAAGTGGCATAATCACCATAACAAACAACAAGAAAGGTCCTAGAAAAAAAATCATTGTTGAAAACGTGTGGGAACCCTGAATGCTATATATTTCCATCTAGAAAACTAGAGTCATGTTTCTTGCCTCTTTTCAAAAGCTCCTTATTCTCTCCTCATCCCTTACTATAATGCCGGATATGATGATTGAAGAGAGAGAGAGAGAGCTTTGGCTGGAGGAATTTCTTCTCTGTTTGCTACCAGCACAAAGCAGGAGATCTACACTAATGTGAGACAGAAAGTGTGTGTGTGTGTGTGTGTGTGTGCGTGCGTGCGTGTGTGTGTGAGAGAGAGAGCGAGAGAGATGTGCTTCTGTGTGAGTTTGAGTTCTCGTCCGTGTATGCATGTGTGTGTGTGTGTGTGTATGAGACAGTGTGTGTGTGTGTGTG